TGTAACGTTCGTGTCAAAAATAATGGAAAACAATTTTTTTGTCTATATGCTCCACCATGGTTCAGTACGGAGGTCCGCATCCTTCTCCGTAAGAGAAGAAAAATGTGGGATAGCTTTAGGTTACTGGGGAATGACTAAACAAAATCTCAGTATCGAAAAGGTCAGAATACCTGTGCCTCAACCCTCCGTCAGTCTAGAAAGTTGTACGAAGAAAAAATTGTTAAGGAGTCCATAGAATGTCCTAAACGCCTGTATTCTTATTTAAACCAAAGGACAAAGAGAAGAGGAAATGTTCCTGCTCTATGGGGAGACAGTTCTGCTGCATCATTAGTGGAAGAAGACTTTGGTAAGGCTCAAGTTTTCTCGAAATACTTTAAAAATGTATATACCGTAGAAACACTCTTCCCGTCAGCTCATACAAATCCCCCCACACATACACTGGAGAGCGTGACCATTAAAGCAGTCGATGTCTTTGGTCTGATAAATAGGCTTGACATAGGTAAATCCATGGGACCCGATGAATTGCATCCTAGGCTACTGAAGGAGTTATCTAACTTCGTTGCAAACCCTGTAAGTATATGCTTTAATCTATCCGTAACCCAGAGTCCTTTACCAAAAGACTGGAAGAACGCCACAGTAAGTCCTACCTTCAAAACAGGTACAAAACATAAACCTGAAAATTACCGAGCCTTAGCCTCCTTAGTGTGGTTGTTAAAATAATAAAAAAGATTATTCAAAAGGAGCTGTTTAAGTATCTCGATGAAAACTCGATCCTTTCAGAGGAACAGCACGGTTTCAGAATAGGTCATTTGCACGACAAGTGGTAGATGTTGTGAGGTCCGGAACTTGTTACTAAAAATCATATTGAATTCGATGAGTTGACTTCTTGGAGAAAGACCGTAGTGCTGCTTACTCAGGTGTACAGTGCTTATTTGTTTTCAGTTTCAACTTGGCTACCAGCAGGCATTGATCTGAAATTATGTCGACTCCTCTCTTTATACGTTCTTCAATGAACTTCTGAATCTTTTTATAGATGCAAACCTGATCAATCCTGTTCTGTGTAGTGTGGTCTCGTAAAACCCATGTTACTCTGTGAAAGCGCTTGAAGAGGAAAGTGATGTTAATTATAACCATGTTGTTGAAGGTGCATCAATCTATTAATCTTCTAATTTTCTCCTTCCTATTTCCCATTTCATATCACCCAGTCTGATGACTATGTAATCCCATCTAACTGGTCTCGACCACTAATCGTTCCTGTTTGTAATAAACGAGAAAAATCCGTCGTGTGACAGTCGCAGAGGAATCCGTTTGATTAATATATCTTAAATATTATCCTCGAACCCTTCAGGCAGCGCTTCAGGTGTATCACGACACTTTTTGCGCTACTTTTTCACTTCTGCTTTTCGCACAACCAAAATTCGAAATTTTAAATATTATGTAAATGCTATAGATTATAATAACACATACCAAGATGTTAATATCATCTTCTACAGTTAGATATATTAGCCAGCAAATTATTATATTGCAGGAAATAAATCATAATCGTGCGGAAGAGGTATAATTATGTGAAGATTCTACCAGAGACCAAGCTAATATAGCCTTACTACCTCTTGTGTAGAGTTACAATGTTTTGGCTGCTGGTATTCTTGCAAAAATACCTAATAACAGAAATAAGTACGAATATAAAGCTGTTACGAGAAAGCATTGAAAAGTACGATTCGATAGTCAAAATATCTTGGTCTAAGGTGATCAGATTGTGTGAGATCGTATGTGATGATCTTCGAAAGTCAGCCAAGGCCTGTCTAGCTTACGTGCTGATGCCGTAAATGACAATTACTCACAACTTACTTGGGACTAAAATAAAATAGGCATCAATAATTGCAGGTTACACATGACGATTCAAAGTAAGTTCACACAGTAGTTTCTATAAATGTACATCGTCTGAGTTTTCGAAGTGCAGCCTGTCCAAATAATTAAATAATACAATCCATGTATGTTGCGACCTAGACTTTCCTAAGCAACGTAAAGGATAAAGAAGATAAACGTGATTGACTATCCAAAGAATGGGTGTACTAAATGCACTTTTGATCTGTAATTGAATACCGGTCTCCGTTTTTAGACTACTTTCTGGTAAACATTCATACTGCAATAACTATTTCCTGCCTATCTTATTTCCAGCTGGCCTCGCAAGTGTTTACGGACCTAACGGGAACAATTCCTAAGAAATAGAAGTTATTTATTAATGGAACATTCGTCCTAGATTTAAACTTTAATAAACGTTTTCATTTATTGACAGATATTGACAGAAATTCGTGTTTTCATTTATAACGCATCAGTCTTTAATTGAGGCAATGCTTATCTATCCTGACAGTTCGAAATTCGAACTACTAGTACGGTACACCATGTTCAAGGTTGCAGTATTTGGTAAACAGTATACATGACTAATCGCGTGTGCGCCAAACTGGTAATTATTACACAAGTACGCGAAACAACGTCCTTGTCTAACAGCCACATAAGACTGCACAATACACTCTCCCTGCCGTTACGCTATAAGAATATGTTAATGGCCATATAAATGAATTTATGTAAAACTAAAAAGATTACAATATTAGAACTTCTTGTTATCAAGAAGCATAGCTATGATCGGTATTAACAATGGATTCTGACGTTGTAGCTTCATCATTACCACCGATTGAACTCATCACCTGTGTGTACATGTCTTTCGATACTTCAAGGTATGAACAGATGAGTTTACTTGCCAAATGTTCACTAAAAGCATGGATTGAGTGGTAGTTGTTAGTGAACTTCTCTAACAGATCATCACTCCCTGTAGAGATCGACATGTTGTCCAGCGCACGAAGAACCAGGTCCATTATGTATTTTCTTATCCAGCGGTTGCTATGTTGAAATAAGTCTACAAAACTTATAGAGATAAAGGAACACATATACCTCCACGAATCAGATCTTTCGAATGTGCATAGAGAATATGACCACCGGGCAGCATGTAGTGTATTGAAACGCTCACAAGCACATCGTGCACGTGAAGTATCAACAATATACAGCATACCCTTGTCGTAGCACCGGATGTATTCTCATTCTGTTAATTCGTGTGTCATTGTCCGAACACGTTTATAACTTACAGCTACAATTTTAGCTGTAAAAAATGTGAACGCATGTAAAAGAGTTCGAAATGACATTGGTACCTGGAACTAAAGATAAATTTAACTATATTTCTTACCTGAAGAATTCGAAAACGTTAAAGATCCTTTACAGCGTCATATAGACGCAAGCGTAGGTTAATGTCTGTTTTACTCCAAATTTTTCAGAAAGTCAATAGCAGAGAATCACCTCTTTTGAGACATTCTTATAGTTGTTTATGAGCAATTTCCACACGGTTGTTTGTGTGGTTGCCCAGGCTTAATACATGTCACCTGTAACAGCGACCCCACATTGACTTCCGGGCAATCCAGTAATCTTTTATGTGATCATACGCCCGTGGGAAATGCGTCCTTAGATGTTCGTACTTCCGAGCAAATCTGAATATAATGCATTATGAAAAGCGAAGCTCACATATCAGACCGTCTATTCTTCACAAGCTGTTCCAAGCATTTGCGCACATCAGGATTTCGGAACTACGGAAAATAGTTTGTACAGTTAAGACATCCCTTCCTGAAAAATGCTCTTAAGACATGAAATGAACAAACTATCATGTTAGAATGACTGTGCGTAGACTGCACTGCTGAAATTTCGGTCGCTGCCGAATCCATAACGAAAGTGCGTGTATCATAAGTACCGCACATTATATCGTTAAAACATTCCAATAGCTTTTCGACATCTTCGTGTCGTTCTTGACTGTAGAGAACATACATAACAGTCTGCCCTTGCCCAAGACTATCAGTCACCACTAGCTGGAACAGTGGAAATCTTTAAGATAAATTTATTTCTAATCGTTACTTACCCAACTTTGTTGGTCTGATAAGTCGAATCAATACATATTACATTCAAGAACGCGTGGTAAATAGCTATTTGCCCCCTGCAGCTGAATTAAATTATAGATATGTTCCCATTTTCATCGAATGTTTTAATTCAGTGTTCGCTTGAACACGCTGTAAGATGTCACTGATATTTTTAGTGTATAAACTCAATTAATTACAATGTGAGTTCAACAACCTGGGTACAACTGTGAACGTCGTCCTTGGTAAGCTGTTTATTGAACTTCCAAGAAACCAGATACCGTAAGCTACGAGTTGGTGTATTACTCAGCAGAAACGTTCTTAAATACAAGCGTTCACTTGAGGTCAACTGTCATTTCGATGGATCGACAGAAATATATCCTTCTGTGCAAGGATGGTTGTGCACGGTCTTAATAGAGGTGAGTTTCAACTCACCATTTACTGCCCGGACCCAAAATCCTGATTGACAGTGGCAATATTTCGACCTGAAGGATAAATTCATTTGAAGTAAGGCATACGTAGATGACCGACATCGTCTCCTTTGCCTAGGTTGTGTTGGCAAGTTAGAAGTTGTATGCTCTTCAGAAGAATGATTATTACTATCATCATCTACATCCTGAACGCATGCATCTGACTCTGACGAACTGCGTTTACGTCCATATGTACAGACATATCTCACGAAAAAGTACTTTAGAGTTGGATCACCACTGTTCTTTTTGCATACTGATATAACATACTTAGTATGCGTATACTAAAAAAATAATTATTAACCACAGTCATATTACCTTATGTACTTCTTTCAAACAGATCTCAAAATTGTACTAACTTGTGAATCTTCGAGATAACATAATATCATTGAAGATTCGTCCTATATCATGCATCAACACAATGGCATCGTCTTCGTTACTTGAAGAATGAACGTTATCAGACATTGTGTGGCTGAACTCAATTCAAATCTAAAAATGACTTGATTTGACCGCTTCTAAAAAATTTCACGAATTGTCGATGTGACGCACCAATCACCTTGCGACAGTTTGACCTTCAAGTGCTCGCAACCTTCGTCAGTGAACGATACCCTTGAGGCGTTCAGAGTCCGAGTTGGATAAGGACGTAATTATATTCCGTAACAAAACAGCAAGCCAATTTGATTTCCCGGTAAGGAAAATGTTGGTATATTTTTAGTTTTTAAATGAGAATTTTTTAGTTTATACAATTAGCTCTAATAAACTGTAAATGGACTAATCAGTGTTATATAACGTTATTCTTTAGGAAAGATGCTTTAACCCAAACTATATCCCACTAGAAATAACATGTCACATGACTTGTCAGAGGTCGGTTTCCTTCAAGGATGCTAACCTATAGACTTAGAACACTCATATACTATAGTCTTACTTAGTGATGATTTTCACCAGATTGTCTTTTGATCGCATTAAGTAACAATACTAGCATGTTTGGGATATGTTTCTTTCCATCCAAACGTAAAATATTTCTTCGGTACTGGTCTGCTTCAACGCTTGGACTAGCAATAAGGAGTGAAGTAATTGGATGCGTCGACCACTTCACTTATTGTGGAAGCTTTATCTTTTTTCTGGGTTATTATCTGACGAAATCTCGGCTCGAATTCAGAAAACACGGTTGCCATATGCAGACCAAAGGCAATGTTTGCTTCTCAGCAGTCCACACTGTTATACTTCATTGTCGTGAGCAATATGTTATGTGAAGGTAAAAGACATGTATAGGCTGAATGTCCTTGATCATAGGTGTCTTCGATGCACTGCTTGCGTTTCATGAAATGACCACGTAAGCGATGTTGATGTTAGACATATGACACTTGGCAGGAGTAGCAAATCGTCTGATGAGGTTGTAAATATTAATTGACTAAGGTGTTTAGGATGTGTTACACGCGTCTAATTACCAACGACATCGATGAACGATGCCTGGTAGTGCACAAGTGTGTTGGAAAAAAGCTAAGGATCCTTAGCTGTCGACAGCTAGACCAAAACTTGACATCACTTCATGAAGTGATTCACTGTTGGTGTGAAACATGTTGCTAGATACAGACTACCTGGTTGTAGTCAGTACGATAACTCAGATCAGTTGTTGGCGAATTCGGGTGACACAATTCTAAGTCATTCACAAATTCACTCTTCACCTTCCGCTAAATCTTAAATTCCAGTGTCCCGTCATATGTACCTCTCCACTCTTTCTTCTCAAAGGGTACTCTGAAGGCTTAGTCTTGTTTTATCGTTGCCACTATATAATTTCGATATATTTTGTCAGTTTCATATCGTCATGTTGATCAGGTATGGGGACTACGACCAACGTCACATCTGCCAGGTTCTACGTTGATGTTTGTCTGTATGAATTAATGTGAATCATGTAAGAACTAAAATTATACAAACATTGGTATAGCTGAGAGCCTATTAATTATATAAGTAATGTTAATATACGATTGCGAATGGTTTAAACAACGTTCATTTCCAGCACTCGTTACATATGTACATTTCCCTAAAAAACCCTTGGATTACTAAACGACCTGTTGCTCTTTTCTTTAAAAACCATACAAGTCGCAAATTGGAGCTAATAGCATTTTCTTTACCATCATACAGATCATTCAAGTTTTGCTCACTAGCTCCTGTTATTTTTCGTGTGTCAGAACGTGGTTGTACTTAAGTGTGTGTCATAGTAGAATCACGATACCGTAACTCCTCTTAAATGTGTGATTGCGTAATATGGCTGCTACTGTATCATAACTTAATATCAAAACGAAAAATATACCAATTATCAGATAAAATCATTTAACTGAAAAGAATGTCTGTGTCTTTACACAAACAAAAACGGACCATCCCACTATCTTATATCCGTGTCGGTCAGCTACAACGTAGGACTAGGCACATTTATGCATCGGTCCAAGTTGTCATACCTCAATAGCACAAGATGGAAAATTCATAAAAGTTGTTACTTCAATGGCAGTAATACATATAAGACAGCATAAAAGGATGTGATATGGGGAGAAAGAATTAGTTTGTAGAAAGAAAGGCATAAAGTAGTTTTAATCTCACGGTTTAAGGAAAGACAAATGGTGTATACACCTACGCCATTTTGAGCCATGTCACCAGTCAGTAACAACGTAGAACTTAGTACGTACGTACATCAGTTCGAGTTGCCATACCACATTAGCACAGAGATGCAGTGGTCGATTCAAATCCCGTAGTGGTAGAGGTAGCAAGAGTATAAGCAGTAATCGGGAAGATTAGGGTTTGGAGATGTTATTTAACGAGTATAATCCAGTGAAATAAATTTGGAAAGAGGAAAAAAAGGGGGCATGAAGAATTCAGATAATTAGAATTTGGGAGAACACAAAGAGTGGATGCACCTGCGCCATTGCAAACGATTTTGAGCCATGTCATTCAGGGTCTCTAACCATCGGTTGCTATCGTCTCGCGGTCCCCAACCAGGTAGTCTACACCTACCAACATGACTCAGTTCACTTGTCAGTGACTTCATGGATTTGTGCCATGTTTTGGTCTGGCCGCCCCTAGCTTTCTTCCAACCTACTCCTATACCACTGAACATCACACGTCGAGGCAGTCGGTCGTTGGGCATACGTAACACGTGTCCCAGCCATCTCAACTGATGAAGTTTCACCACTTCATCAATTGATTTGCCATCCTTACCTAGTACCCGTTTCCTAACAGCTGCGTTACTTACTCGGTGGTCCCAGGATATACGAGCAATACTTCGAAGACACCTATGATCAAATACTAGTAACCTACGAATATCCTCTACTCTTACCGGCCATGTTTCACAGCCATAAAGTAGGACGGAACGAACTGCTGCGCAGTAAACACGTCCTTTGGTTGGTAGACGGATATCTCGCCTACGCCATAAATGACGCAAGTTGGCAAAAGCTAGTCGAGCCTTCTGTATCCGTGCTGAGATTTCGTCACACACCAGACCACAAGGGCTGATGAGACTTCCAAGATAAGTGAAGCGGTCGACACACTCAACTACTTCACTCCCTATCACTAGTTCGGGTGTCGATGTAACCCAATCCTGAAGCAACATTTTGCATTTCGAGGGAGAGAATCGCATCCCGAACATGCTTGCATTGTTGCTTAGAGTGGTCAGAAGGCTCTGCATTTTGTCAGCGTCTTCACTAAATAAAACTATGTCATCTGCATATTCTAAGTCAACAAGTGAACCTCCCGGTAGAAGTTCAACCCCCGGAAATTTAGATGAGGAGAGTGTTATCTCTAAAAGAACGTCGACCACAAAGTTGAACAAGAATGGGGAGAGTGGACAGCCCTGACGAACACCACTTGAGGTAATCAATTCTGATGACAGTTCGCCATAAGCTCTCACTCTACCAGTTGTGTTCGAGTAGAGAGCCTGAATAAGGTTAATGTACTTCTTTGGTACTCCTTTCAGTGACAAACACTGCCATAGAACCTCACGGTCAACAGAGTCGAATACCGCCTTAAGATCGAGATGTCACCAAGCCTCCAACCACTGGTTACGAAAGTCACGCGGACCCCAATCAAGTAGTTTGCATCTACCAACATGGCTCAGACCAGAAGTTAGTGACTTCAAGCACTGATGCCAAGTTATGGTTTGGCCGCCCCTAACTTTTTTCCAACCATCCCCAGCACTAATCAGCATTGCGCGTTGAGGTAACGGGTATCCAGGCATACGTAACACGTGGTCCAACCATCTCAGTCGATGAAGATTCATAACCTCATCGACTGATTCACCGTCATTCTCTAATACCCTGCGTCTAACCTCAATATTACTTACCCGGTGATCCCAGCAGATGCGAGCAATATTTCTAGGACATCTGTGATCGAATACTGGTGACTTACGAGTATCCTCTACTCCTAATGGTCAGGTTTCTCAGTCGTAAAGTAAAACAGAACAGATTTCTGCGCAGTATACTCGTCCCTTAATTGATAAACGGATACTTCACCTTCACCATAAGTGATGTAGGTTGGCAAAAGTCAAACGAGCTTGTTGAATCCATGCAGAGATTTCGTCAGACACCAACCCATTAGGGCTGATCAGACTTCCAAGATAAGTGAAGTTGTCGACGCGTTCGACTACTTTACTCTCTATCGTTAGTTCAAGTGTTGACGCAGACCAGTCCCGAAGCAATAATTTGCATTTAGAAGGGCAGGAACTCATCCCAAACATACTGGCATTGTTACTCAGTGCTACCAAAATACTCTGCATTTTATCAGTGTCTTCATCAAACAAGACTATGTTATCTGCGTATTCTAAGTCAATAAGTAAACATCCTGGTAGGAGACCAATGCTCGAAAATTCAGTCGACGAGAACGTTATCTCCAGCTGTGGGTCTATGATGAAGTTGAACGAAAGTGGAGATAGTGGAGAGTCTTGTCGGACACCACTTGAGGCTGCTGAATCAAATGGCAGTTTACCATAAGCTCTGACTCGACTATAAGTGTTTGAGTAGAGAGGTTTCACAAGGTGTACGTATTTGAGATGTGCCTTTCTGTGACAGGCACTGGCACAAAACCTTTTAGTCTATAGAGGCAAATGCTGCCTTCAATTCAAGAAGAGCTATCACATGCTTCGGTTAGGGCACCCGAGAAGTATCACAGCCCTCACACATATCGAATGAGATTTGCGTGGCGCATATGTATTTGGTTCCTCCTTTTACCAATATCTATGTGTTAAAATAAATAAATAAATGTTGACAGATTTAAATCATGAGTCAGTTGAAGCTAGACAACCATTGAAAACCTGGAACCACTGGACTGCCGTTTCGTCCTAATATGGGACTCCTCAGCAGTGCGCATCCACGATCCCGCACAACGCGGGGCTCGAACCCAGGACCTACTGGCTTCGCGCGCGAGCACTTAACCATTAGACCATTGAGCCGGCATCCAACGGTGTTAATGTCTAACTTCAACCAATCCACGAAGTTGCGCCACCATATACCATTGTCTTCAGTGAGCTGATATCTCACAACAGACCTGGTTGAACTCCAATGGTAACGGCTTCCCACTAGAACTCCAGGAGTATCTCTTGAAATCAGTCACTAGTGAGCAGATGATTATTATCAGAATGGGTTTGTGGAGATTTTAGAAATTTTCACATACTAGGACGAAACGGCCGTCCAGTGCTTCCAGGTTTTCAATGGTAGTCTAGATTCAACTGACTCATGATTTAAATCTGTGAAAATTTCTAAAATCTCCACAAACCTCTTCTGAAAATAAATGTTGAATTAATCCCTCTATGGGTATCACATGATGATTATGACCCCTTATATATTAGGACAATCAGTGATTGCGACGAGTGACATGGGATTCCATCCAGTTATCAGGTTTTAGCTAAAATATTAGTCAACCTAATCGCTAAAACTGGACCAGTTTCCTTCTCACGTTTTAGATTAGCAGTCACTTTTTGAACTTCAATTAGAGTTGAGTGGGAGGCTATATCAATGTTCCATTCAGGCTGTTTGGAAATGGTGAGTAGCTGTAAATGTAAACAGCGCAGTAATTAGCGTAAATGAATATTGGTAAGGACTGTTTCAACTCCAATTCATGCAGCTACAGTGGAAAATACTGTGGTAAGTAAGCAAGGAGAGATGATAAATTTGACTGTTTTTAAACCATACACTTTGTTTTTTACAATGTGACTCAAGTTGGTAATTATGTTTTTGGTTGTATTGTGTTATTTGAGCCAAATAATTCGATTGAAAAGCTTTCATTCGGATTCTGGACGTCATCGCCCTTTGCCCTATGCAGATGTGAGCTATTTACATATTCAACATCAGCTCTTTCTAATAAACTTGTTTGTAAATATTTGTCTTTGGGTGCATTTTCAGCCTCATTTGTTTTTGTATGTTTAACATTTTTTTCTGAATACGTCTAGTACTTAGGTGTACCTGTAGGTAATCGTTTAACTTTGAATTCTTATCAACATTTATAACTGTGCTTTTGATGACGAAAGTTGTTCTATATTAACATGTGACGTGAAGGATCTGTTTGGTTCTTTTACTTGTACAACTGAATCGTATTTACTGAACCAATGTGGACCATTAAATATGTACACATATCGAATGACTTGTGAAATATCTATATATGTTCTTGTTAAAATTTATTTTCAAATTACTGTATTAAGAAGATGATTTATATCTCCATTAAAAGTAGGCTTTTTACCATGTGAAATATGATTTTGAATATACTTCCAATGGTGCTCCAGTTTCCTACTTTGTATATACATGGATCTGTGGTTACTCGGAATTAGTGCTACTGTTGGTACTGTTTTCATTCTAACGATGCGGTGGTTAGCTAGAAGAAAAACGGTACTTTGCAATTGTTTGTCCCCTGTTGGCCAACATGCAGTCATCACTGGTGCTAGTTCCGGTATTGGTCGCGCAACTGCATTTGAATTGGCCAAAAGGAATTGGAAACTTACGTTAGGTTGCAGGTAAGTAACAGTTTATTTCAGTAATAGTTTACAATTTTCAGAAATATGAACGCTGCCATTAAGGTTAAAGAAGAAATTACATCTCTCACTGGTAATCATAACATTTCTGTTAGACTTTTGGACTTGGAGAATCCACAAACGATTAAGGAGTTTGTACAATTTTTACCTTTACCTGTTCATGTTTTGATCAATAACGCCGGTGCGTTTCCTAAGATTCTTCGTCCTGCTATATATTACCAAGATATCAATGTTACTTTGGCTACTAATTATGTTGGACATTTTTTCTTGACTTCACTGCTTTTACCTTACCTTCGAAAATCATATCATGAAACATCTATTTATCCTCGTGTGATTGTTGTAAGCTCCTCTTTATCCAAAAAGGGAACGTTCTCGACAGAAAATTTGTTTCAACCGTACAATACTACATCAGATTTAAATTCTAGCAAAGCTTATTGTGATTCTAAACTGGCTTGCAATTTATTTTCACGCGAACTTCATCAGAGGTATGGTTCAGGTGACAATAAAATACTTGATGTTTATTGTTTATTTACCGGAGGGATGGTAAATACTAATTTATTTCGAAATACTTTGATAAAATATTCACCACTCACTCAGCGTTTCATCCGTGGTTTAATGCAACTACTTTTGAAATCTCCTTCAGAGGGTTGCCAAACGATTGTTCATTGTGCAGTTAGTGATCAAGTTCCTATCCATCATAATAATTATGCTCAATCGATTTTAACTGAGACATCTGGTAGCGGTATGCTATATAACAATTGTACAGCTATTGATTGGCCTGCTAATTCACACGATCTTCATCTAGCTAGTCAACTTTGGGATTATACAACAGATTTCTTAAAACTATCAGTCAATAATAATGCATAAATCATTCACTTTTATGTACAATTACGTATTTATCTGTATTATATACAATGAACTCAGTGTATTTTCATCAAATTCCAATTAGCTAATTATCACTTAGCATTTACGATGAACAGAAGCAAACTACAAAATGACAGCCGAACAATTAATATTATGAATGTAACAAGTTTTTAGAATTTCTTTAAAAATATAGTACAACTCTTCCTAACAGACATTAAGTTTCTTTGCATTTGTTCATCGGTTTGTAGTGATTTGTTTTAGTGGTGTGTGATAAAATATATCTTATTGATAAAATTTCTTCACTTCAGGAATAGGAGGTACTACAAACTCAAGAAAACTGTTTCAAAAAAACGGACCTTGAAAACTTCGAGTTACATACTCGTATCCATTAGGCTGTGATAATACGTGTCATGTCCTTAATGTCTTTATACATGTGAGATATCTGCCAATACAAACTCTATTTGTAATGCTCTAATTCAAGTATACTTTTCACTTATATGCTAACAAACTTATCCTTGACCACCGACATCCTGACTGACAACAATTTACCTTGATCAACGATTGAGACATTTCCGAATAGCAGTTAGTCCGGGATGTATGTAACCTTATGATCTGGTATCCAGTCATAAGTATTTGTGCATTTTATTCGGTAGCTCGTCCACTCTTCTGTTCTTGCTCAAGGAGTCAATCGGGTAGTTGGGGCGTAGTACGTCATGCATTAGTATCCGATTTTAGACACCATCCGTCATAACAATTTCAGTTTACAAATTTTGGTATTATAGTTACCAATATTATCTCAGATTGTTTTTTTCGGCCTTCAGAAATGCCTCTAAGAATATTTAGGCGTTGAATCCTAGAAGGAACTGGTTAAAAATGTATTATGTTTATTAACAAAAAGTGATACAGTTTATAATTGAAATATGTATCGTATGATATATCTAACTATCTAATAATTTTTTATTGTCACATATCTGAGCTAGAAGTAAGCAAAAGTTGGTAATCAAGAAATTACTTTATATATCAATCATATAAACAACACATGAGCAAACATGGTGTGTTTCGAACGATCATGAATCTATATACATAAGTTATCAAACTGCAAATAAAAATAGTATTTAATGCAATTAATCAAGTCGAAAGTGGTAGAGAACGGAGCAAGCGAATAATAATTTATCAATGATAATATAGGGTTGGTGAAACATGTATCGATAGTTTGTACACTAGACCAAAAGCTTATAAATGGAAGTACCGTAAATCAATTACCTAATAAATATATTGCAAATAGGGGATAAAAGTTTCAGCTTTTACAATTTCCACTCCATTTCATTAATATATAATTCTAACCTGGACAGAATAACCTGGTAAAATCTTTTTTCACCTCACATTGATTTCAACTTCATAACGAATAACTTCTTAGGTTACTAAATATTCGTAGGTAATTCGGAAATAGTTTTCATCTCATCTCAATACTAGTGAAATATTCATTTAAAGTTAGTGACCACTAAACGTTCATTTGTTTTAGTTTTATGACTATCCGTTAGTGGACATTCATGAATCCTGTTGGGATACTCTACAATCTACAAGGTAAAAATGTATAAAAGATTGCATTCAAATGATGATTCTCAACAGTTTTTCTTTGTATAGTTATTTTTCTGAAAGATACAGCAACTGAATGTTTTAAAATACCTAAAATTCGCAGCTAACTTGTCACTGTAATGACTTATGTTCTACTCATCTTGAACGGAGATTTAAACAAATCTATTAGAGGGAAAAGATGTTACTCTACAAGTTAATATCTTGCTACTCACTGAAAATGAATTTCGATGAGTGTTGCATTAGTAAGATTTATGTAATTAATTACATAAAGACAAATGATAGATTGGATAGTACACCGATTCTGAATAATGCTAGTTTGTTTACAACAGGAGTAGATAATTCTGGGTAAAATTCTCAACATTGCAGAATAACTGTCATTATTCTACGAAAATATGGAACTTTTTTCCTTAATACTCATTCTTTTACAAACCTCTAACAGAAATCCTACATTCAGTCAAATCGGTTATTTAATGGATCATCTATACAAAGCGAATGATGATTTCTTTTATAAAAACACAGAATTTCATTAGATTACTCACTGCTGTCTTGAGCTACACCAATTTCCTAGCTGCTATAATTTTGTTCAGTACACAGTGAAAGTCTGTTCTTTAGATTATCGATTGTATAATACATCTGATTGAAAAGAGGTTAATGGTCTGCATAATAAGTACGGATTATGATTTATTATGAACAGTTCACCACTGTGTTGAGAATTATTCACAACATGAATAAACATCTAGGGTTATTCTTAGTTTATATTTCAAAAATAGTAACTTAGATATTCACATAAAATGTAAAATTAGAAGTTACTGTGATATAATTTCTTACAGGTCAAAATAGCATGGGAAGATTTGACATGCTACTTCCAGTTTATAGTGAAAATTTGTAATGTGTTACTACCGGTACCTTCCATAGATCATTGTATAAAATATCGGTTGAGTAAGATAAAAACACTGGAGTTCACCATCATTGTATAACTACAAATTAATAACACAAACGAATGAGTTGCAAATTTGGAGGATTTCCAATCCATTGGATTATATCGATACCATGAATGGATTAGTGTTAGACAACCATTAGAAACCTGGAAGCACTATACGGCCTTCTCGTTCTTGTACAGGACTCATCAGCAGTTCACACCCACTATCCCACACACGGAGCTCGAACCAGAAACCTCTGAATTCGCACGCAAACGCTTAACCTCCAGACCAGTGAGCCGGCATCCGACGGTGTTAACTTCAACGGATTCACGATATTGCGCGACCGTCCAGCATTGTTTTCAGTGAGCAGCTACTTCACAATTGAATTTACGTTTCCCACAACCAATCTAACAAATAGTGCAGTGAACGAGACCACAAGTAGGGAAAATCAGATATATTACAAAACTTCTTAGTAAACTCTGACAACCATACAGTGAATATTTCATTTGCAAAATGTTCATTAATGGTCTAAAACTTCATTGTTCCTGCATTTCCATACCAATTGCTTTCTGTTCCTGTTCTTTCCTACGTCATCCTCTCGACCTTCTGTTGCCAGACATTCTATTCCTGACTAGAATTATACACTACTTATATCGATATATAGTAATATTCTCAAAATCACAGTCTACTAAGAAAGAACGCATCGATTATCATAAATTGTAAGAAGTTCACTTAAACATTATTTTCGTCCAATACTCCAAATATCTGAGCATTAATTTTTTGTAATCCTAATATTTCCCATTCTTGGTTTTAAGCTTGTAGAACTGGAAAAATATCCATGTATGTCATTTTCTGTTGTACATACTATATGTTTGCTCAATAAGCAGTTTTCAATTTAACCTGAATAGTTAGATTACTTGAAATAATTTTACAGACTAGCTTCCCAGTGGTATCTGTCAGTTTCTAGTAAAATTAAGTTTATAACCTAATAATAGCATTTCTCTTTACTTAGCTTTACGTGATGGTATGCGAGAGATCTGTTCAACTTCACAGATACTCTGTGTTTGTGAGTATTATTTATTTGTACACATAAACATTGGTACCAGAGGGAACCAAATATATATACGCCGCACAATAGGAATCAAGTTGTGAAGAGATAGAGAATAGTCAACATAACAAAAATGAAAGGCAACCATGAACACAAATAAATGTATGAGAGTGAGATAATAATAACAATAATAGTGGGGTAATTATGTCAGTCAGGAAAAGTACAATCAAACAGAATTCGTTCAGTTGAGATAGTTACTTTCGCTCTGGATCGCCACTGACTTCTATTCTAAGCCATTTCTGATATCGTCAAGATGTCAAGGAACACTACGATTGTTAGCCTGTGATAAGTATGACGGTGTTTTATCATTTTACAGAGAATGAAGATATCAATGCATCCTCGACCAGAACGAAAACCGACCTACTCCTCGAGAGTCCATATTTCTTGGGTTTTGTACAACCTACGAAGTATGACGGAATCCGATAGTTTGGACGCAATCGAAAGTAGACTTATCACCCAATAGTTCTTTTCATAGATGAGGTGAACCTTTTTTAAAGACAGAAAAATTATCGATGGAGGTAAGTTTTCTGGGCCTGATGATTTGTGAAGCTTTGAGAGTTGGAGTTCCTTGTGGAGATCCACCTCATTGGGTAGATCAGTTGTCACCGACCATGAAGAGCAGGACTGTCTGATCGATATCACCGGGACAACAGACCATTTGAACTCTTCCTCGAAAAACTCTACCCATCGTTCAGGACGTCGGTAAATGTTATTGATTGGCATCCCCTCAGCTTCACAGATTGTTCCACTCACATCAAAATTCCTGCTGCCAGTGACTCAGAGGAGTTGAAAGAGCTTGTGGCAATTACCAGATGCAGTTGTTGCTTCTAACTCTGGAGAGCTCCGACCACCAGGCTTCTCGGTCCTTCGCCCAGTTTCATTTCGTGACAATCTTCGTTTATCATTAAACCCGCGGTTACTCGTAGTGGACAGATGAACTTCAATGAGCTGTAAGAAGCATGTAGAAACCAAGTGCTTGTAAGCGATACGTTTCGCAAAGCCACAAGCGACACTACTCACCATTTTCATAGCGTCATACAATTGCAGCCGAGGCTCATCTATACTTTTCAATGTGATACTAGCTATCCTTGAACCTAGCTAGTTTTTATATTTAGTTGCAACAGAAGCTTCAACCAATTTACCGACATTTATCCGTTTAGGAAGATGAATTTGTCGACCACTGAAAAGTAAGGTAAGATTAGCGCAAACAAGGCATGATCAGAGTCCAGATAGGTACTCAAAAAAGGGGGCGGAAGTCTTGTATACAACCACGCTAGATGTAGCTGATCGCAATGTGATCAATCTGAGTCCAGGTTTGAGGTGCAGATCCTTTAGATAGAACAGGGTTTGCACCATAGGTGAGCTGTTGTGTGAGTCTAAGAGTAAACGAATGCGTGGAAAGATAATGAAAGGGAGTAGACAAGTGGTGCAATATGAAATAAAATCGAATGTAACCAAATGATTGATGATGAAGGTTTTTAACTCGATCTTAAAATTCATTGACAGCGAAGTATGGATGATGTACGGAACTACCTGATGATCATTTTAGATTAGTCAACTAGCAGTGAAAACTGTTAATTCAATGGT